AATTTTCTATTACAAGAAGTTATTTTGATTTTTTAAAAATCTTTTATCACTTTTTTCCTAGCAGATATGGGCTTCTATAGTATAACCCTCAATGAGAAACTTGGTTTCAGCAGTTTTTTTCCTTGATATGAAACTGAGGGTGTAAACAGGGTGTTTTAAACACTTCTGACAAATTTATACTATTATGATAATTGACACATTTAATTGTGCAGCCACTGTTGCTTTTTTCTCCTCTTTAAAAGGTGTCTCAACACCTTCCACTCCACCACACTCCTGTACGCTTCTCTGCTTCTGCTGCCACTCTTCTCCTCACGCACACACACACACACACACACACACACACCTTCCACCTGAGAGTCTTTCCTCTTCGTTCAAATAGACGCACTTATGATTCACCATTGGCTGCAGTGCAGTCTGACTCACTGTCTGTTTGTGGAGCACAAAATAGAGGCATGAAAACACTGAAGCTACTAAACTGTCCTTGTAAGATAGATTCACTTTGCAGAGGTTTTGGTCCGACAGTAACATCAGTGTGTTGGCTGTCTTATAGCCCAGTGTTGACCATAGAGCAAGTATATTTTAATGCAAAGTGTATTAACGAATGTGAATGTCAAAAATATGCACCAGAAGATATTGCTTTATTTTCTAATAAAAAGCCTTCGATGCACTTTTGAAGTCAGGGTAAAGCAAAATTAGTAATTTCTCTCTGATCACATTATATACGTTAGAAAGTACTCATCAAAAACGTGAAAAGACTGTGAGCTGTGTAGTACTGAAAAAAGGACAACGGTGTGAGACACACTGGACCAACAAAGGCATCAGACCCTCACCAACAGCCCAACTTTGATCAACAGCCAACTACTGGCTTGGTGTATCAGGGCCTTCAGACCGTTAAACTGTTTTACATCATTTCTTTGTCCAGGATTTTTTGGGCAGGCCTGAATTCGTAGATCAATGACATACTGGAGTCATCCTTAACATAACTAACTTTAGAGTGTCAGTGTTGTTTAGTTCACCCAGTGTGTAAGCAGTGTGTTTGCTACTTTCAACAAGCTCTCTGAACTCATTCAGTTGAATAAATACATGAGTAAACATCTTTGTTAAATGCCACAATCATATAAACACAAGCACAACAGTCATCACTAAAGTTCTTTTCAGTCCAAATCAGCTACCCAGCCCGACAGCAGTTACTGTTCACTAATGGTTCGCTAATGTAGGTATGTGCTTTGTGCTAACGTTAGCTGCTGAACGAGTCTGTTGCTTAGCAGCGGCTGGATTTTTGTTTCAGCTCCTTCAGACACACCCCCAGTGTCTCAGAGCAGAGAATACATCTTTTTTTTCATGATTTTGAAACATAATGTTGTATACTTGCCAATTCTTTCAATCACTCAAATTTGGCTGGGTGGTTAATAACACATTTTACTGTGTTGAGACAAACTCTACACAAATATTTATTCTTGCTTTACCTGGATTTTAATATGAATACTCTCAAACTTCATTTTAGCATTGACTTTTAACCATGAAAGAACCAAAAAATTACTGTCACTCTCTTTATTTAACATATTTCGGTCCTCAAACCTTTACTAGGTAATATTTCTTGGTGCCTTCAGAATTTTCAGGCCAATATACCTGACATTAAGACTTCCTAGTGTAGAGCAACTTTGTCAAATTTTTATCTTTGACATGTTCAAACAGACACGGTTTAAAGGCTGTTTCGCATAAAAATCATTTGTCAGGTTGTCTGTCTGTCCAATTCTTGTGATCTCAAGAACGTCTTGAGGGAATTTCTTCAAATTTGGCACAAACGTCCACTTAGACTCAAGAATGAACTGATTAGAATTTGGTGGTAAAAGATCAGAGGTCAGGGTGACTGTGACTGTGACCTTTTATGCATCTCATTGTCAGGAATGTGAAATCTTAAGAAGGCCTGGGAATTTACTCAAATCTGGCACAAATATCCACTTGGACTCAAGAATGAACTGAATAGAATTTGGTGGTCGAAGGTCAAAAGTCAACGTCACTGTGACCTTAGGAAACATGTTTTTGGCCATAACTCAAGAATTTGTGCGCTAATTGTGACAGAATTTCACACAGATGTCTAATAGGATAAAATAATGAAGCAAGGACATTTTTATATCCAAAAGGTCAATGGTCAGATTCACTTTAACATCATAATGTTCTGCATAAAACACTTCTCTCACTATTAGATCACAACTGAGGAACAGAGCATTGAATTGGTGACACTAATCTTGGTTGCCCAGCTTTAAACTGTGCTGATTGTATAGATCTGTGCTGCCAGGGGACAGATGTGTGTGGGGCCTCCACATATTCACAGACGTGGATATAAAGTGTAACTTGACTGGTGCTCGGAAGCAAACAACCGCGAGGCAGTAATTGTAGTTTTTTTTTTATCTTTATTGGCTACAGTGACCAATGGCTGACAGCTCCACAGCTTTTATCAGTCACAGGAAAAACAAGAGACTTCCCTTTGAAACAGTGTTTGAAATTCAAGTTGAATTCCCCGTGTTGTTATGTTCCTGATTAATTAACTGCATGTGTCTCTCTTTCCAACTGCAGAAAGCTTTGGAAATGAAGAGAGAGGAATACGAAGGTTTACCAGGGTGGAAGCAAGTGAACTTAAAGAAGGCCAAAGGACTGTTTTAAGGAAGTTTTCAAATCGAAGATGGAAGCGGATAAAAAGTGGACACTTGAGATAGAGACACAGGAAATGTCACATTACCTGTTTTGTTGGTAACACGCGAGGACACTGGGATAGAAAGTATCTGAATCTGAAGAAAACGTACATGGAGGATGAGACTGGAGATGCACTCGCCTTGCTTATAGTCATGTTTTACCTTTCAACTTTGTCATTACATAACTAAATTAAATTCAAACGGTTTAAAACAAGGTAAAACCACATTGCTTTGGTTCATACATGGTGTTTGTGTGTATTTGGAGTCTCCTCCAAACACTTAAGTCACCACTCGTGGACTTAACGGATGAAAATGTGCACACTAGGACGCTTGGTGTCAGAGTGCCATGCTATGGTTGTGTATGTATGTGTGTGCGATTGTATATAATGTTTGTTTGTAATGTTTATTTGTGTAAATGTGTGTGTATCTATGTAAAAACAAATCCTGTCACGTTTGATGTTGTGAGGAAAGTTGTCCCATTTTTCGTCTACAGTGTCTGGATGCTATCAGGCCACGTAGGGAAGTCATGTTGCTCGACTGTGTTAAACTGCTGAAGCGACTCTTGACTTACTGAGATGCAAGAGTTGTAATTTTAAAAGTTTGACTTGTATGAGAAAGAGAAGGAGCAGCTTGATGAATCTGAATGTATAGTGCCTTGCTTTTTGTGTACAGTTTATATACAGAAATTCTAGTCTGCATTTTTAAAGACTTTCTTTGTGATATAAGACATAGTGAATTAAATCACAATAATGCTCAACTTAAGCCATGCGTCATTCTGTCTCACTGTCTCTCAAATGACCATTTTGAGTAGAAATAGAATACTTTGCAATTGCCATTGTTAAAATTGATAGAATTTTGAGGTGCTTTTACTTGAATGTTTCCTTTTTATGATACTTTTACAATTAAATTATTTATTTTTGCCTGATAAGAGCATGTTAGCATGAATTACTTGGACCTGTTTTGAAGAACATGGTCCTAATGTACCATGGCCATTATGGAGGACAAAATAAGGGTGTGATTTTATGCTTATTGGACATTTGTGCAAAGTGGCAGCTTCAGAATCAAGCTCTCTTTGATTCTGACGGACTGGCCCCCAAGCAAAATCATGATGCAGATGTTGGCAGTATCTTGATGCCACAAGAAACTGTTTGTTGGTCAATTATTCACCAGAACGTAGATCAAACATCATGCGAGATATCCAACAGCCCCATCACAAAACCTATGGTCAAGATCTCTCTCTCTCTTTCACACACACACACACACACACACTCACACTTCAAGCCTTCAGTGTCTCTTATGTTTTCTACGTTCTGTCAGACATGCCAACATTCATCCTATATGACAGTAACATGCTGCACCAGTTGTTGTGTTAGACTTTGGACCCCTTGATGCCACTGTACAACCTTGCATCATCCAGTGGCAGCAGGGGGTCCAAAGTCTAACTGACTTGTGCTTAAGTATTTTATGACCACGTAAGGCATGTTTGACAGTATAGAAAACATAGGAGACAGTGAGGCAAACAACTGAACTGAAAGCTGAAGGTAACAGGAAAGGAAATGACTGAAGGTGAGTCACATTTAGTACCACTACAAATGTGATGACTCTGCAGCATGTGCGAGTGTTTGACAGTTGTGGTCTATTATAGAATTAGTAATTTCTGTTTTGCCCAGGTGTGCCATGAGAGTGTAAGAGTGCTGCTCTTATGCAGTGGACATGAACACTTTCAAACACTTTTAAAAGATATGTAACGTCAAGCCTAGTGGTTCCAGATGAAGATATTTCTTTTAAGGTCTAGTGTGTAGGATTTAGCTGCATCAGGTGGTGAGGCTGCAACATTGCGACCAACTGAAACCTCTCCTATGTGCCAGGTGTGTAGGAGAATTTGGTGGCCGACTAGAAAACACATTAAGCTTTTAGACAATGGATCTCTATGGCACAGAGGAATCAGCTGATGTCAGAAAATGAAAATGATACTCAGCTCAGCCGTCTCTCAGGAGCATGTCATTGGTCACTTTTGCCACAAGACAGCAAAATTCAATTGGGCCGGATTTTAAAACCGCAAAATGTTGGGCCAGATGTTTTCAGCAGCAAGAAAATATTGAAAACTTTGTCTGTATCATCCTAAAGCTCAGGTCCTCTACCAGAGGCCTGGCAGTTTGAGGGTTCTGCGCAGTATCTTAGTTGTTCCTAGGACTGCACCCTTCTAGACTAAGGCTTCAGATGTTGCTCTTAGACTATGCCGGAGCCACTCTCGCAGTTTGGGGGTGACTGCCCCGAGTGCTCCTACTACCACGGGGACCACGTCAACTTAGACCCTCCACATCTGTTCCAGCTGTTCTTTCAATCCTTGATACTTCTCCACCTTTTTGTGTTACTTCTTTCTGATGTTGCTGTTGGCTGGTATCGCCACATCTACCATATGTGGGTATATATAGATATTCTTATATATATATATATATATATAAATGCAGCACAAAATGTAAGGAAATTTGTGTTGTGTGTAACAATGCTTCTTGGCAATAAATCTTATAACATTGGAAAACCTGTTTATTTCCCTTTTAACTGGTGCCACATTTGTAAGGAACATGCATTTGTGGGATGAGCAGCAGAGCTGAGTATGTGGGTTGCACCCATGAAAGATTTGCCAGATCTTCTCTGCCAATGCCAAACAGCATTTTTTTGCTGTTGCTAAACAGCTGGTACCCCCAGATTCTGACAGCACCTGTACACATGGGCCCTGGTACAGTGGTCAGTTGGTGTCTGCTCCAAGAATCGGCATGCCACGTTTGACTGATCTGGATAGGGCCTGTGCGGTAGGTCAACTTCAAGCTGGTGGTCCACAAAACCAAGTTGTGGCATTATTTGGAGTGAGCCCTAGAACCATCTGCAAACTGAAGGCCAAGTTAACGGGGGATGTCAGAGACAGGCAGCGAAGTCGGCGTCCCAAGAAGATGGCACCCCAAGAAGACTGTTTCCTCATCCCATCAGCACTTAGGAACCGTAGACAGTCTTCTACAGATTTACAGCCAAGGTTTGCAGGACGATATGGCTGACGGCTCTCTGTCCAGACAATTCAGAACAGACTGCACGCAGCCAATCTCCGGTCTCATAGGGCTGCCAGGAGGCCTGCCATGACTGCCCTTCACTGTCAGGCCTGTTTGCGCCAGTGTCAGCAACACGTGCACTGGAACCTGAACATGTGGAGGAACGTTATGTTCAGCGATGAGTCCAGATTCTGCCTTCAGCAGTTGAATCATAGGGTCAAAGTGTGGAGAAGACACAGAGAACGCTTTGCTGATTGCTGCACCTATAGAGTAACATCTTTTGGTGGAGGCAGTGTGATGGTCTCCCTCACTGGAAAAACGATGTTTGCCATCACTTGAGGCAATTTCAGTGCAGAGAAATATCGCGATGAAATTCTGCAACCAGTGGCAATTCCATATCTCCACAGTCTGGGACCAAACTATCCTCCAAGATGACAACACTCACCCCCCACAGAGCGGGATTTATCAGAGACTACCTCCAGGATTTGGGAGTGGAGAGGATGGAATGGCTTGCCAACACTCCTGACCTCAACCTCATTGAACACTTGTGGGATCAGCTTGGCCGTGCTGTTCGTGCCAGAGTGACCAACACAACCAAGTTGGCTGATGAGGAGGAGGTGCCAGGCTGTTGAGGCTATGTATGGTTCTTCCACACGCTACTGAGGCTCCTGTTTGTTAATGAATAAATTGTTAAATTGCCAATATGTCTTGTTTCTTCAGACTTCAATCATCCAATCCACGGAACACTAGAGTCAACACAAGATTTGGCAAATTTTTCATGGGCGCAACCCACATACTCAGCTCTGCTGCTCCTCCCACAAATAAACAGGCTTTCCAACGGTAAAAGATTTATTGCCAAGGAGCATTGTTACAACAAAGAAATAATCTACCAAACACAAATTTCCTTACTTTTTGTGCTTAGTTTATATATAGAGAGAGATTATTACAGGTTATACATTATGTTGCAGAGCACAACATAATGCAAAAACAGAATAAAATAGAGCTATCAATGCACAGAAGAATAATAGGTGTCATAAACAGTAACTAATGACACACTCTTTCTTTTTACCGGCATCTCCCTCTCCCTCCTCCACACACACACACACACACACACACACACACACACACACACACACACACACACACACACACCTCACCTCCTGACGTTTTCCTTCTAGGTCAGATATACAGGACATAACAGTCATGTTTTCAACAACAAGGTCACTATAAACTCAGTAATATCTCACTGCTCACTGGAAACAGATCTAACATGTTGATAAAATAAATACTCCTCCTGATGTCACAATACTGAGTGAAAAAAAAAGAAACGTTATCTCAGCATGAACACAGACATCAGTATCAGTCACTCAACCTGCTCTCCAACTCTCGTCTACTTAGGAGACTCACTGACCGCAGGTCGGCTGCCTCAGGTACATGTTCAAATAAAGTTTTAGCCTACATACAGACAGCTTTCATTTAGTTTGTCTTTAACACTTTGCTGTTAACCCTGCGAGCGTGATGTGCTTGTGTAAACTGCGATTGTAAGCCACAATAGCGGTGAATGAGAGACTGTGGACAGAGCAGACTGAAATATGGCTTTCTACATGCTGATCACATGTATTGATAAAGTATTGGCTTGGCTGGCAGAGGTTTATCTCACTTACTTACAGTAACAAGCGTAGTTGTCGTCAACTAGAGTAATCTTGAAGTTATATTCTCTTTATCTGCACCGCGGCCTCTCTGCTGTTGTCTGACTTCACTCTGTCGTGTGTGTGTGTGTGTGTGTGCGTGTGTGTGTGTGTGTCTGCACTTGTGAGGAGGAGGTTAGCCCTGACATGCAGAGAGCAGGAGAGAGGCTGCAGCATGATGAAACATGAAACCAAAACTTTAAAAAAGTACAATAAAAGAGCAGATAATGTAGGAGCTTATCATTATTATGGTCTTGACTAATTTTGCCCTGGGCTGTTTAATACTGTGTCTCTGTACAAATCCCTGCCCGGGCCACTCAGAGGTTGCCTCTGCAAGTCAATTGAATAGACCTGACTTACAGTATTCATGTGCTTTGTTGACAGACTCCAATCTAGGAGTTTGTTTTATCATGTTAAAATCTTTATTTAAATTCAGTGTAGGGGTTTGGTGATAGCATTTTCTAGTAAAACAAAAAGGATCTTATTCTTTAAAAAAAAGGTCTATCTCTATAGGAATACTTTCTGTAATGTTGCCAGACACTTATAACAATCTGAGCCTGTCACTGCAAAAGAACAAGCACTTTAAACGGCCATAAATTGACTGTGCGCAATTGTCCATTAACGATAAATTGCAGCCTGTGTTGCGTCTGCTGTCCGCAGGGGTCACACTCAATACTGGAGAATTTTTTTTTAAAAATTGACACTTCAGCACAACAAAAATGTCACGGGTATAAAGTAATATTACAAATGCGAAAGCTGAGCGGCAGGGGAGTGAAGAAGGGTACAGTCCGAACCAATTACACCTGATATAACAATGCCCTTAAACACAAAAAGACGAGAAAAAACGATCCAGGTTGACAAATACCAACATTTCCCTTTAAGTTTCACCTCTTGAACAGTTATTTACATGGAACCATCTGAGATATTTAGAGGAGCAATCCCTCATTGGTAAAACTACTAACAGTTTAACTGACACGTGACAAAAGACATGATTCCACAAGCCTTAAAGGTTGGGAACCACTGGTTTAATCTTTAATAATGCACTGTATCTTATAAGCTTATTATATGTTTCAGAAGAGATGTCCTCCCAAGTCATACTGAGGCTGCTGCCCAGAGCCAGATGCATGTTTGATGAGCCTGTTCAGGTGACGGTGTCCGGGCTGAGGGCGAGACAGGTGGTCACCATGAGAGCCAGGTCAACTGACGAGAAAGGAGTGGAGTTCAGCTCCTCGGCCACCTACAAGGCTGATGGGAACGGGGAGATCAACCTGGAGAGAGACCCCTCACTCAGTGGGAGCTACGTCGGGGTTGAACCTATGGGTCTGCTGTGGTCGATGAGGGCAGATGTCTTGCACAAAAGGTTTCAAAAAACCAAATCATTAAACCCCCACGTAGTAAAGTTCTCTGTGCATGAGGAGGAGGGGGAGGGCAGGATGCTGGCAGAGGCGACCAATGAGAGGCTTGTGATGGGAGACGGGGTGAGCCGGCGTCCTGTCAAAGAGGGGAATATTCGTGGAGTCCTGTTCACTCCCCCAGGTTGGTCTATGTCTTTGTCGCACTTTACATCTTTCAATTTTAATTGAATTATAACTTAGCCATAGCTAAGTGCATAGTTTGCATGGCCACAGCCTGATAAAGCTTATTCCCTCCAACCCTCTCCAACTATGTTAAACCCCATGTCAGAAATCTTGATATTTGACTCCGCCTTCAAATTTGACAAGCCAGCTTTTTCCAATTCTGCACTATATCCAGATTCAAGTCATTTCTCTCCCTCAAAGACCCAGAGATAAGTCACCTACACTCTCAATTCTCCAGTTTGGACTAGCATTACGCCTCCAACTGGTTCAGAACGCTGCTGTCAGGCTCCTCACAGGTACCCGGAGGAGAGACCATATCACACCTGTTTTAGCCTCTCTCTGCTGGCTGCCTGTAAAGTTCAGGATTGATTTTAAGGTTCTCCTGTTTGTTTACAAAGCCCTTAACAGTCTGGCCCCATCCTACATCTCAGACCTTCTAATCCCCTATTCTACGCCCAGATCCCTCAGGTCAGCTGCCAGAGCACAAATTGATTTACTGATTGATTGGGGAACAACAGCAAAATTCTACCAAAACAGCAGTTAACCAATTCTCACTCAACTCATGCTTTATAATCCAAGTCTTATTTATCCAGTCGTATGCTTTACTATTTAAAACAGAACTGAAAATGGACCTTATGCTCTCTTCAAATCCAGACTCCAATACTAGGGTTATTTGTCAAAATGCATGTGTTTTGAAATTTGAATGCAATAAAAATGTCTCTTTAATGTGTCCTCGTGTGTCTTTTGGTCCAGGAGGAGGTCCGTTCCCTGCTGTGTTGGATCTGTACACTTTTGGTGGAGGTTTGTCAGAGAAAAGGGCCTCTCTGTTGGCCAGCCGTGGATTTGTGGTTCTGACTGTAGCCCTGTACGGTCATGATGACATGGCGAGGAACATCACAGAGGTCCATCTGGATTATTTTGAAGAAGCAATAGAGTTTTTAAGAAAACAAGACAAGGTGAGCAGTTTGTGCAGTACAGTCCAAATCTCTGTCAACTGTTTTATAGATGCTGATGTTTGCATGTGTTTACACAGGTGGGCAGTAAAGGAGTTGGTGTAATATCACTTTCAAAAAGAGCAGATCTTGCACTATCAATAGCCTCTTACCTGCCAGATGTCGAGGCCACAGTGTGGATAAATGGCTGCTGTGCCAATATTTTTTTACCCCTTCACTATAAGAGGAGACAAATCCATCCTGGGTTAATGTTTGACATCAGCAAGATGATTCCCACTGAGTCAGGGGCCTTTAATTGCAAGTATGCTACACATAATCCACTGGCAGAGGAGAACAAGGCAACCCTGATCCCCATTGAACAAGCCAAGGGGCGTTTCCTCTTTGTGGCTTCAGAAGAAGACCTCAACTGGGACAGCAAGACTTATGTGGACATAATGGTGGAGAGACTGAAGCGTCATGAGAAGCAGAACTTTGAGAGTGTGTGTTACCCTGGAGCAGGACATTACCTCGAGCCGCCTTATGGACCCTACTGCCCCTCCAGTTTTCATGGGGTTGTAGGAAAGCCAGTCCTGTGGGGGGGTGAGCCCAGGTCCCACGCTGCAGCTGAAGTCCACCTGTGGAAGAAGATCCAGGAGTTCTTCACAACTCACCTGAGCTGTGATACTGCACAGACTAAAGCCAAATTATAGATACAAATGTCATAATATGGAAGACATAAGAGATAAATCACCAGCCAAATAACTGTGAATGATTCTGTATAAACGCTGTGGAATGAAGAAAACAATTTAATATTTGATTAATAATTAAACATTTCATTTAGCATACGCTATACACAGAGAGAAAATGCAAATATTTTAATACTGCACTCAGGGCCATCTGAGTAGCTGTAACTTGATAAACATGGCCAAGATCATTCAAGGTAAAGCCAATGATCTTTTGGCAAAGTGTAACAATCATTCCCAGCCTATTTGTGTTGCCCTATCACAAATAGGCTGGGAATCCTGTCATTTCCCAGAACTTGTTTTGCAATCACAATGTTTACCATGGCACTCTGCTCTCACCAACACAATGTTTGCCAGCTCACTCTGTTCTTAGACTTCACCCCAGAGTGAGACCAGTCAGGGTTATTCAGATTTAGTAAACATGTTTTGCTTCTAACTTTATCTCAACCATCAGACATTTCTAGACCTTTTTGCCACCACATATTCCCCTTGTATCCCTTTTCTACCAATTAGGTAGAACATACATAAGTGATCTCAAATTGCCAGATTACTGCTGCTGTCAGATTTTATGTGCCCATACATGTGTGTAAGGTTATTGATCTGTGTTTGTGAAACTGTCCTGTAGTATTGCTGTTAGCTTGCTATGATAAGCTTATAACTGAAGTGTAACAATACCTTATTAATTATGCTAGTGCATAATCAGAAAATTCACTTAAGCATAACAGACTACATAACAAGGTAACGTGAAATTAGGGACAGGGAAACTCTCTTACGGCACCTCCCACTGGCGACCTTTAACATGAACCCATCAATATTACATACAGTGATTTTACTGGTACATAGCATCATCAATAGGTAACTAAACAAGGATACTCACAAATATAGGTGACAACATGTGTGAATTAGCTAAAATGAACAGTGAGTTGACAAATCAAATGTATTGTATTGTAATACTGTGATGTAATGTGATGTAGTGATGTAATATAATGTGGTGTGTGCCGTCTGCCATGAGTCCATGACTCCTTGGGGTCGTCTTGTGGAGTCCTCTTGTCAAATTCATACCTACAATGTGCTGCAACATTACAAGTTCATCTTTTCATTTTCTCTGAGTTCGTGATTTGGGTGATACCACATTGTGCATCCTTCGACCTGGACTACTGTGGGAGTTGCTCACACCACCGTGTAGGGTCCCTCTCGCCTTGGCTCGTGCAGCTTTCTTCGGAAGACTTTGAAGTTGATTCTCAACCACTTGGTCGAGTCTTGGTTCTATCCTATTTTCCTAGAGATAGATTGATCTATGGATAGCAGTTAGCTGTTTCATATAGTCTTTCCGCTCAATCTGCAGTTGTTCGAGCGGGGTTCCCTTGTAGGGGCCTTGCAAATGTGATGCAAGCATAGGTCCACCCGTTAGCATTTCATGCAGTGTTAGATGCATGCTTCTGTGAGTTTGGATGTGATAACTCATTCATGCAAAAGGCAAAGCATCTCCCCTGTTCAGTTAGACAACTAAAACTACAACTAGAACAACTAGAAACTTGATGACAGTGTCTGAAACTATATCTTTAGAAGGAAATGCCTCTAACCAGCGTGAGAAACGATCTATGATGACAAGCATGTAGCACTTCCCCTCTACAGATTTTATCATGTCAAGGTAGTCTATGGTTAGATGTTTAAACGGTCCTTCAGGGACCGGAATGTGCCCCACAGGTGTTTTTATGCTTATTGCACATTATTTTGAGTACAGATCTCACATTGGTTTAGTACTTGCTTGCATGTACGGTGGCCAGTATCCTTGGCCATATCCTTGCTAGTTTTATCGTTTTAAACACTTCCTCCTTGCACAGTAAGATAAGATAAGATAAAACATTATTAATCCCACACTTGGGAAATTCACATGTCACAGCAGCTCAAAGCACAGACAGAAAAAGGAGGGTGATACTATTACTTGAATAAAAGAAAATTAAAGATTAAAAAATATAAAAGTGATCTGCACTTTGTACTTCTGAGATCAGAATGGTCAGTGGAGGCACTGGTGCAACCCAAAGTCCTTCATGTGACCTCCACAAACCATTCTCATTAACCATTCTGCTGATATTGTCCACCTCCTCCTTAGTATCTATTTCCACCTCTTGTGCTGTTTGTGGATGTACACAGCAGAGTTCTTGTTGTCGACAGCCGCCATTTTTCTGAGAGTTTTTGAATATCCTTTAGATGGCTGTGATGTTTGCGGCTGACAATAGTTGCTAGTGATATATATCCATTGACATTTTGCTTATATGTTTGTTAAATATCAGAGCAAGCAATTTTAAAGTTAAGATCAAGAAAAAACGTATTTGAAATTTTAGACTACTGCCCCTTTAATTTTCCAACTTTGAAAAAACAAAGGTTAAAGTTCTGTACTAGACTTGCGAGTGCAAAGGGTAGGGGAACCCTGAAAAGGTTGGTGAACCTTTTCCTCATAAATCTCTTTTCAGTATTTCCAATGCCAAATTAATTATGTGGCCAACTGAGTATTTGAAAACACAATTTATTTATCCTGTAAGGTCCCCCACGTCTCAGTGAGGATTGTGAATATATTCTAATGCATAGATAAATTATGCCCTTCTAGAGACTGATATAACTTTTGCCTGAAAACACTCCTCTACTGCCAGCCTCCGGGACTCCCCGGGGAGATGACCCTGCTGACCTTATACACTTCCCTACTGTCAGCCTCAGGGTCCATACTTGGCCAATTGTTCAGCTACCTTTAACACAGATTACAATCCAATCTCTAATTAGGCTGTCTCTTACACTTAAGGCACATGTTTAGATATTAATTTTTGCAATGCAACACTCTGCAATGCCAGCAGCCCCTCATGTGCACATGAGTTGTTGGCTGCGACCTACACCCATCATACACAGATTATTTGTTTTAAGAGACCCCAAAAGCTCAGGACATGGTGAAGGCATGCTTTAATTAGTGAGAATCAACGTCTCTTATCTTTAGGTTTGCCATGGCTCGTAGCTTTCATCTGTGTTCAGAAACGGACGAGCCCCAGGCCCCCTTCAAAAACTGGCTGGCTTGCCACTTATGCTGAAAAACGACTCCACGACTTGAGGTCATTTCACAGCCTCTAGCGGGTATTTTAACCCAAGGCCTTACGGGGCACCCAGGCCAGAGCCTATTTGGCTTTTATGCATCCAGGCCCTGGGGCCTTTATTCCACATAACCCACCTATGCTGAAGAGCCTTACCTCTGACATAAAAGCAATTCATTTTTGACTGAATCCACATGTTGGCGCATTCCGGGAATTTTGTGACTGCTGAGGGCTGTCCAAAACCTCAACTCACCCTGTCCACAAGGGGCCTCAGTTGGACTTTCTGCAGACTTCGCCCCAATCCGAATGTCCACCCTCTGGACTTGCGGACTGGGCCCTTGCGGACTTCAGTCGTATGTACTGTGAAGAGTTCACCGTTATCAAGACTGTTTTTACTCATTGCCATGGAAACATTCAGGCAATGTTACATTTCCCTATAGGTGAATGTAAAACTAACTTGTGCTGTGCTGCTTCTCAGGGCTTTTGGGCCTCAACCTAAGCTCCTTCTCCCCTCTCTTTTGCCATTGGCTGATGGAATCTGGGAACCTGCAGCCAATCAGTCTGTCTGGGGTATAAAAAGGCTGAGGAGCTGCTCTTCTCTGTGGTTTGTTGCCATGTATGCCAGAGTTCCTTGTGACCTCTTTGTAAACTTGAGAAGGCAAAGATTGTTGTTAGATGAATCTAAAGCCCTTTTTAGATAGGAATCGTGCAAATTTGCAGGAAAGCCCAATCAGTCTTTTTCCAGCATTGGCAGTATAAAAACAAAATCGGGGAGGGCGGAAAATTGCCACCTACCTACTTTTGTTTATACAGAATGCGCCTTTTTCAGGGCAATGGGGGGCGTGAGCAAGTAACAAAACGTGTAGCTCAGCGTGTGACGTAAACAGTGACATGGGAGGGAAGCCATGGCTAGTCAGGCAGCAGTAGTCAGACGGCAATTCTCTCAGAAATCGGCACGTTCTTTACCGTCCCCGTCATGGCCTCTTCATTTGCGAGTGCTAGGAGGGCACGCTATTCCTTGTCTCCCCAGTTGCTCATCTTTACAGTGTCTGTCAGGTTTGTGTTTCCCTCTTGCTACTAGCTGCTCGCTAATTCCTGCTATCAGCTGTTTCCTGTTTATCCACTGCCAGTGGCTCGCACGTGCAGCGTCATCAACAGCTCCTCCCACAAGTCTTCAACAGCCCCTCCTGTTGCAGAAGGGCGCCTTGGTCTGTTCAGACTTAAAGGGTTCCACCAATATGTCTACCCTACGAGGCAGAAAATTGGGCACCTCGGATCAACTTGCCTTTCCGCCTCTGTGTGTCTAAATGCTCGCAGCTTGCCGGCAAAACGGCCCAACATTTGCGGAAAATCTGGCAGTGTAAAAGGGGCTTTTGTTGAAGTACGGTTACTTCTTAGACCAATCTTGTTGTTAGACGCACCACTGTCAAACTGCAGTGAAGTGTAAAACAAGCCCTGTTGTTAATTTTATCTTTGTGAGGCCTCTGTCACCTGATGAGCTAATTCACAACCCTAAAGTTTATTGCCAGGAGGCACTGTAGGGGAGAGCTGCCAGTTTTTTTAAACCTCTTTTTCTCCTGTTTTTATTTCATGTTTTGTTAGTGAGTTAGCAATACAGTTGTACTTTTTGTTTCTAGCAGTCAGTTTGTTTGTATTTAGAGCTAATCGTAAGTGCTATATCGTAGGCAACTGGACTTGCTTGCGTTTCTTGAAGGCATTTCGCCTCTCATCCAAGAAGCTTCTTCAGTCCTAAATGACTGGTACGAAGTTGCAGGCTATAACCCTTGTGAAACGCAAGCAAGTCCAGTTGCTTACGATATAGCACTTACAATTACCATGACCTGGATGACTGAGAATCTTCACCGACAATTTAGAGCTAATATGTTTGTAATTTTGGCCTGGACTCTCCCTGATGTTTTTATGGTTCCATAACTAGCAATAAAAGGGTTAAACTGCACTACCTGACTCCTCATTTTCCCCATCTAACCTTATGTTGCTTCCCTCACCCCTAGACCACCTTGGGGGATGTAACAGGTGATGATTACAATCATTGTAACTGCTGTCATATTCTGTCTGCTCATCTGTCCCTGCAGATAATAAGATATAAATTCCATGTATAGGGTTGTCTTGTGAGGGAACAAAATAAATGTCTGTATAACATATAGACTGAAGACATTCAAATACAGACGTGGTTGTAAATAAGGATCGGGCTATGACTAAATAAATTGGGTAGGCCTGTTAGTTACATTAGAAGATCTTCTTTAGTTGTTTTTTGGCCACTTTTCTGCCTTTATATTTGGCATTACACTGTGCAACCTGTAACATAGGCTGCAATAATACAATGCATTTTGATTCCCTTCTACAGCCTGTATTTCTTTATAGCTCTGTATCATGATGTTGTTGAATATTATTTCTGGCCTACAAGATTCAAGTATAGTTTTATTAGGCCACAGTAATCATTTTACATGTACAAAAGTTTTGATTTTTTTAGTTGGCTGTTGAAAAAACTACCTTGTCATGTCCGTATTGTGGGCAGATAAATCAGTGAAGTCTGCTGAAGTCTGCATCCCAAACTGACTCTCTGGAAATCTGCAGAAAGTCTGTTTTAGGCCCCTTGTGGACTGAAGGAACTGTGGGTTTGGACAGCCCTCGACACTCCCAGACTTCCCAGGAACGCGGCTGCAAAGTCAGAGTCCCAGAAATTATTATGAATGTCTTCTCAAGTATTGTATGAAAATGCCACTTGAATCCTGTAGTCCAGAAATAATATTCAACCACATCATGCTACAGAAAATGAAGATGTAGGCCTATAGGCTATAGAGGTAGCTTAATTAAAATTCATTTTATTAATGCAACCTAGACGAAAGGCTGGGCAGTGTAATGCCAAATATAAAGACTAGGAGAAGTGGCTGAAAGAGGCTCTTCCAATGTCAGTAATACCAAATTTATTTAGTCATAGTTTGGTCCTTATTCACTGTAGGCGCCAAAATTATTGTTGGCAAACTCTAACCCATATCTGTTTTCTGAGATGACCCCATCTAGTAGCTGTGGATGGCTGAGTATAAAGGTGTTTTCACACTTGGTCCTTTTCAGCCCTCTAAATGGACAGTGACTCAGCATTTTTTTGTGCATATGTGAACACTCCAAGAGAATTCAGAACCCTCTGAAGCGAACAGAACTCAGACCACCTCAGGAAGTGGTCTGGAGTAGGAAGAGATGTCTTTGACCTCACATCTGTAAGGTCTAATGCAAACACTGTCCTTGCTTTAATTTCTATAGAATCCTTACTTTATCTTTAGAATCCTCCGACTTAAATTCACACCATCTGAACGTTGTATTCATTTTTTTGTTTATAATAGATACTGATTCATTATTTGGACATTTTTTCTGTGGACACTGGATTTTTGGGATGTGTCGAATCAGATAGCTATATTTTTGCTCGGCCACCATAGTGGTTATAGAGGACCAAGAATAACCCCTGCATTTACAAACATTTATTCATTTGAATATGTGTGGCCTATAAAGTGTGTTACACAGAAATGTATTAATATAATTTTGTTGAGTCACAATAAAGCCTACAGCCTGCATGGAATTTATGACTTGTTATCCGCAGGGACAGATGAGCAGACACTCTTCATGAACATGTATCAGAGACTTGCAGTTTCAAATTCTGCCCTTGCAGACTTTACGTGATGACAATGAACACATCACAGGTGTGCAGTTTAGATGCAGCCTCGTAAACTCCCAACTTTACGGCATGACACACTCACCTGCCATAATATTAACCTGGGCCGAGGTCACTGTGTTGTCTGCTTGGCTCAAAATAACAAGTAGTTAAAATAAACAGCCGTGCGTTCATTAGACGAAGAGGCGCAGCTCCGTTTGGGCGAAAATAACCTGTCAACAACGCGAAGGTAAGCGAGGGTGTACCCTCCCGTTCCTGCCTTAGTCTATTAGCCCGTGTTTCATTCTTTATAAACTTTGTAAACTCTACAAACTGGACGACGTTTCAACTTGTTTCCAGCAACGTGCAGCTTTATTTAATTTCAGCAGTCAACACATTTGGCTCTCACTGGATACATTTCAGATACATTTTCAATTCACTACAAGTGGTAACAGTACAAATGTAGGCCTAACTGTCTTTCTCAGTAGCGTGGTGTTGACGTCACTGCTTTCTGATTCTGATAGCGTGTCAGTCGCTAAGTAAGTTCATTGACCGAGTAGTGCGGTAGTGTCCATAAAAGTTTGGTCTTTTTTTTTTATTCATTTGACAAATGTACAAAACAATTTGGCACAGTACAGTGTCTTATACAGTTATATAGGCTACAGACAAGCCACGTTCCCACAAATGAAAGTAAAGAAAATAAATGCACAAGTAAGAAAAAAAAAAGGAAATAAGGGGAGAGAGCTAGGGGAACTCTGTGAGATTAAGCTCCTCTACTAAATCATAAAGCTTCACAGCAGTCTTTTTCTTCATGCATTTTAGAGATGAAAAATAATGGCATCACTCCTTATGAAAAACATATATTTTGGGTTTTGTTTTCATGAATTTGTTCTTATGTATAAAGATATAAAATTTTGCAAGGATGACAATTGTATTAATTCCAACGTCATGTGTTGGATCGTTAACAGGTATACCATACAAAATATTCTCTTCTGTTAAATTAGAGAAATTGACAAATTTAGGGAATAACCAGTCATGAAAACCTTCCCAAAAGACATTAATAAATTTACAATCATTAAATAAATGTTCCGTAGTTTTAATTTCATCATTACAGAATGAGCAGTTGTTGTGCTCTAAACCAAAACGACATCGAAAAAATTCAGCAGAAGGGTATATTCTATTAAGAACTTTAAAGTGAACTTCCTTTATTTTTGCTGCAATTGGATACTTAAAGAATTTGGACCTTAAATTCTGAGCTTCCTTTTTAGAGAGGAATTGTAGAATTGAGTTTCTGTTTGTTGATAATGGATATAACTCATTAATAAAGGTTTGACGGATTGTGACGTTAGGCAACTTTAAGTTATTGAGATTATGACCATTCACCAATAGTGAAGGAAGATTTGGGTTAATATTACTTTTAAATAAGTTATTGTACATTATAATTATAGATTGAGGAATTGCTTTGATTACATTATCGTATTTTTCCCTCTGTCATTAAGATTAAATTTGGAACAGAATTCTGCAAAGGGTATAATAACAAATGCATTACAGACCATATTCCCTTCTCTGACCAATCTTGTTAAAATATGGATTTATTTCTAAGTAAGACATACCTGCAATTCCATAGTGGGGTGTTATGGGGACTAAAATTATGCTTGAAAATCATTTTCCAGTATAGTAAAACCTGTTGATGGAAGGCAGATAATTTGATGGGAAGCCTTTTAAGAACAAAGTCACATTTAAGGAGAAAGTTAATGACTCCTAAACTCATAAAAATATGGTTTGGGACGTGAAACCATTGGCTATTTTCATCTCTTAACAAGGATCTTAGCCAATTAATTTTAATGGTGCCATTAATGCAATCAGTATCGATGGCTTTAAGATCTCCCTCCTCGTATCCTTCAACCATAATTCCTTTTCTGATGTAGTGTGTTTTCCTGTTCCATATATAATTAAAGTTTGCTTGGTTTATAGTCTTTATTGCACTTTTAGAGAGTGTTAGAAAATCGGCTGGGTAAATGAATCTTGAGAGACATTCCATTTTTGTGAGGAAAATTCAACCAATAATAGAGATGTCTCTTTGAGACCACATATTTAAATATGTTCTACATTTATCTAAAGTATTCCAAATGTTGAGGTTATCTAGAGTTTTAATGTCCTTAGTAATGTATATGCCTAAGTATTTAACGGCTGATTTAACAGGGATATTATGAATTGTTGTTAGAGGGGAATTATGGATTGGTAATAATTCACATTTTTTAAGGTTTAATTTTAAGAAAGATGCCTTGGAAAAGAAATTAATTGTATTAAGGACTTTGGGGATTTGTGCAGTATTTTTCATGAATGTGGTTGTGTTGTCAGTCACTTGGCTAATTGCCAATTGTTTGCCTAACACAGTCAAATTTTCATAAAAGTTAGGTCTGCATAAAGTAAGGTCAACAAAAGTCTGCCACACTCAAGGGGAAGCACTTCCTCATGACATCACGTACCAATCCTTCAGTTTCTTCTGCTTGCTGCTTTCACTAGTGGCTTTCCTTGACAAGACCCGCCTTACTCTGCCTCTGATTGGCTACAATGCACTTCTTGCTGGGTCTCATGTGTCTTGCCCATAGACTGCATATATTTAGTTGATTTGCAGTGGAAACAAGGGCCACAACAAGCGCCAAGGAAAGAGCTAGAGACTGAGAACTGTATAAAGAAAGAGGAGAGGAGAGAGAGAGTGATACACTCATGTCACGTGTTATTTGCAGGACATGTTCATGCTCTAATGTCCCCCCCAGGAAGAAAAGTTTCCATTTAGGCCTGTTATTTTTATTGTTTTTATTACTGTATTTTAAATATTGTGGTTTTACTGACTGAAAAAAATGTTTCTGCATTACTAACATAGCCTACTGAAAGACAGAGAAATGCATTAAGTACGAAGAGAGAGAGGAAGAGCAATAGACCTCTTGATGATGTTATGTTGTTGGAGGACATGTTCAAATGTCATCAAGTCTGTTACAATTAATCGAGGTATATCACTGAGTTCAGTGGTTTCCAGAACTGGGAAGAGAAGCGCTGTGACCTGATAAATAAGGCGAAAAGGAGAGAATGGCAGAATTTGCATTAATTTATGATACTGTTCTCTCATCCATGCTTTTTAGGAAATATTGTTAAAGGGTAACTTGAGTCATTTTCAACCAGGAACTGATTGTCCATGTCTTGTGTCTAAGTGACTAATGGGAACAACATGTTCTTTTAATTTGGCTCAGTATTAAATGAAACAGCTGTGGAGAAACAGGTTACAATGTAACCATGTGGGACAATTATACACCATTAGTTTACATCCAATAAAAGTTATTGTTTTGCCTCTGACAGGCTCAGATCATTATTCTTTGTGTCTGACAACGTCATGGAAAGGACCCGTCAGAGACAGACCTTTTGTTAAAGAGTAAGATTATTTTTTGTCGAACTAGAAACAGCCCTGAAACTGCCGTCAGCAAACCCTCCAGACCCCATTTAAATAAACAATTCAAATTTGAATTTCAATTTTAAAAAAATTATTTTTTGCCAATAGCCTTACATTTGATAAAACAGGCCACTTGATGTTACAGTTGCTAAGATCCTTTCAGTTGAAACTGCTTCAAATGATCACTGTGTCTCATGTCCTCAGTAACAACAGGAGATAACAACAGGCACCAACTGCTGATTTCACACCAGTGGAAGAGCTCGCCCTGGATCAGAATCGAGGCAGGCCGATGATGGAGGGGATACGGGGGGGACAGCTACAGACTCTGTCCCACCCACCGAAATCACCCTCTTCATACAAGGTACATTATTCCAGTATACTGTACATGGAATCAATCATTTTATTCATTCATTAATCAACCATTAGTGTTATATGGACTGTCTGACTTTGGATTGTCTTGCAGTGTCAGGTGACACACTGACCCTTCTGGAGCCACCAGAAGATGATCCGGTGAGTGTTATTCATTAGAGGCATTTGCTTGACATGTCTTGCAAGTTTACATTAGGTCAATACAAATTCTATTTAATGTGGCAGGGTGAAGGCACATCTGTAGCAGTGGATGCAGCAGATGAGGAGGAGACACTTTCTCTGGACTCCAGACGGTTTGAGGTAACCTGTCAGTCTTGTGGAGATAATTTAGTCCTTAATGTATAAGAAGTCAGTGATGTGGTGCTCATAGAAAATATATTTGTAACAGGACACAGATGAACAGCCTGACAGCCTGCCTGGAAATGTAGTGAGTATTGCCTGAAGGACATCCACGGTGTCCACAATTGCTGTGCTAATAGATATGTGTTTTACAGAATTCACAAACTGTCGGACAGCAATATGCTACTCATCTGAGGAAGCAAATAGCCCTGGCAGATGTCAAGCTCCAGTGTGAGAAGAGGAAGCTGCAGGACATGGAACTTGACAGACAAAAGAAAGAACTTAAGGAAACTGGACTTGGAAACTAAGAAACTAGAGAAAGAAGTAAGTGACTTTAATGCACATTGTAAGCATGACTGTGATGCAATGTATTAATCAATATTATTTCTCTCTTTCTCCCCACAGCTCAAAGCAGACAGTGACTGATTTTAGTATTTTTCATTTAAATAAAATGAGGTCAAAGAATATTGTAGTTTCATTTTCATGTTTTCATTCATTGATGTAAAGTACACTGGAGTTATTGGTCCAGTTAACTGGGAATATAATTTGGGAAGGTCATACAGTTATGACACCCAATAACCACTAATTGTATTAATGCCAAATACACCCACTTGTATGTTTATTCCAACAATTAATCCTTTTATTGGTAAGGATATGTGCACGTCAAAGTATGTTTGGGCAAGATGCTGAACCCCAGGTTGCACCCAATATTATATGCACCCTGTGTGGTGGCATTAGTGTGTGTGTGTTAGAATGGGTGAGAGAGCAGCTGCACACTGCTTTGCACTTTTATCTCAATTGCTTTATACTTTTTAGAAAAATAAAACATGAAAATAAAACAAAAAGCTGCTATGAATGCAGCTATTTTAACAAAAAAAAAAAGACTGCTATAAAGGCAGCTATTTTAAGAACAAGGAAATAATGTACCTCATACAGGTGGTCGTCATGGTGGAGCAACGGGTCCGACCTGTCCCGCAGCACTCGATCGCATCTAAATGCTCTGTGCACAATAAGTGCCTCTTCCTCTAGTCCTGCAACCTCATTTAAAAATGGACACGCCATTGTGAAGGAAGAAACGCACACATGTCATGTGCATGGGACTTTATATATTGCCCTCATCACTGACTTCATTGAAGACACCTGACGATGCTTATTGATTTGATTGATTCTTTTAATGACCACACAGCCAGGCTGGTGGAATTTGTTTCCAGTACAGCTCATTGATACAGGTTCCAACATAAAGGATATTAAACATAACATAGATATACAGACAAGCAAATTATCACATGAATAATTAGGCTATGACAAAAAGAATGTGTTAAATGTTAAATGTTCTTTTTATTATTGAAAGCTTAATGTATTTTGTTCAAAAATTAGGCAAATGTGTACATAAGAACATGAAATGACAGTAAAACACATTGATTTCCGATCACAATGACAGCTGACTGGACAGATAAGGCACCAGGCTAAACTAAGCTTGGTTGTTGCACAGAATAAATCTCCATGGCAACATATGTGCCTCTGTTTTCGAACAACCGAATCAACGCTAAATTAAGCCAGGATAACCAACATATCCCGGCTCCTCCAGGTTGGTCTATGTCTCTGTGATGCTTCAGATCATTCAGTTATACTTGAATGATGAATTATTTATTATAAAGTTAAAGGAAAGTGCTGGCATTATTTCATCTTTGTCATTATCAACAAATCTTCCCAAGACTCCACAGTGCGTTTATTCTATAAACAAGTACTGCTTGTGTAGCCACAGCCCGATAAAGCTTATTCACTGTGCCACAGAATTTCATTATTAACCAACACCATTAAAAACACATCAAGTCTTAATTTCACTGAAGATATTTTATGTGGAATATTTACATATTCCATGTCATCATTGTACCCTGAATTAGATAAAAACTTTGATATCACTCGAAACACTAACGTGCATGTAAACGTAATCAGAGCGTGTGTGAAAGTGCTTCTGTTTGTACTTCTTTGCTTGTTGGATAAAATGTTTACCTGTTTTAGTTTACCTTTTTGTTAGGATTTAATCACTATATGATGGCTTTACTCTAATTTCCATCATTTGAACGCAATAAAAATGTCTCTTTAATGTGTCCTCATGTGTCTTTTGGTCCAGGAGGAGGTCCGTTCCCTGCTGTGTTGGATCTGTACACTTTTGGTGGAGGTTTGTCAGAGAAAAGGGCCTCTCTGTTGGCCAGCCGTGGATTTGTGGTTCTGACTGTAGCCCTGTACGGTCATGATGACATGGCGAGGAACATCACAGAGGTCCATCTGGATTATTTTGAAGTAGCAATCGAGTTTTTAAGAAAACAAGACAAGGTGAGCAGTTTGTGCAGTACAGTCCAAATCTCTGTCAACTGTTTTTTAGATGCTGATGTTTGCATGTGTTTCCACAGGTGGGCAGTAAAGGAGTTGGTGTAATATCACTTTCAAAAAGCGCAGATCTTGCACTATCAATAGCCTCTTACCTGCCAGATGTCGAGGCCACAGTGTGGATAAATGGCTGCTGTGCCAATATTTTTTTACCCCTTCACTATAAGAGGAGACAAATCCATCCTGGGTTAATGTTTGACATCAGCAAGATGATTCCCACTGAGTCAGGGGCCTTTAATTGCAAGTATGCTACACATAATCCACTGGCAGAGGAGAACAAGGCTACCCTGATCCCCATTGAACAAGCCAAGGGGCGTTTCCTCTTTGTGGCTTCAGA